TGATTTAATATTATAATTTCAAAATTTTTAAGGCAATTAATACATAAAATTTTAATTTATTGTCCGATTACCATTGTAAGGGCTGAAATTACCTAGTAAAATTTTTATTTTTTAGGCGCAGTATTATATCTAATTTAAATGTATAAAAATTTTTTTTTGTTTTGAATTTACTGCTGCGTCCGCTATGACGTAATGAAGGTATTAGTAGGGGATGTGATGAATGATAATTTGTTAAATTATTGGTGAATTTAATAGAAAGGGGTGACAATTAGGTTGTGATAGTTAGGGATCGGATTATTAATTGTACAATAACTAATGAAATGAACCAATAATTTCACATTTTTAGGAAATACAAGTTTAGATATGGGAATTTATAGGTTACGTGGAATTTTGTTAAACCTTAGATTTAGAAATTCTTTTCTTTCTTAAATTTTTCATTTTCATATTTATTATTGGTTTCATTTAGAAACTCGGGAATAGTATAATTTTTATCGAAATTAATAAAATTTATTTTGTAGATCGAGGTGGCAAACGTTCATCATCACCTGCGGTGACGATCATTACTGGTCCTTTGACTGACATAATTCCTTATTTACGCCTAATTATAGAAACTGTTACACGACACAAATTGTACAACTATAATCGTCATATAAATTTATCCAGTTTGACCATTGTTATACACAAATACTTAGTTTTTTCTCTTTAGTTTGCAACATGTCATGCTCAAGAATATTTTCAGGAGATTTACCTGAATTAACATACGAAGTCATAAAATATTTTAAGACCGATGTTTCAACTTTATATTCATGTATTCTAGTCAACAGATTATGGTGTCGTTTAGCGATTCCATTATTATGGGAAAATCCTTTTTCAGGTTCAGTTTTTACTGAAAATTATAACTTTATCGAAATTTACTTAGATAATTTAAACGATGATTCAAAAACAAAATTAAGTGAATATAAAATTAATGATAATTTATTACCTTCGAATACACTTTTCAATTATTCTAAATTTATAAAATATTTGAATATAAGGGAATTTATTTCTTCTGTTGGTGGGTGGTCTTGTAGCACTTTAAAATTCGGAGACAGACATTCTGATTTTATCTGTGTGTCATTATTTAAAATATTTGTTGAAAACGAAATAGAATTACATGTTCTTGACATTGAAATCCCAAGTTATTATAGTTCTTGTCTTGATAAAATTCTTGAGTTTATTTTACAAAATACAAATTTTATTCAGAATATTAAAAATTTAAACTTATATATTAATAATCATAGTGATGAAATGGTAATTAAAGATCATATAATACAAATAGTTAATTTACAACAAAATCTTAAAAAAATTTTATTAGATAATAGCAATTTCTCTTTGTATCAATCATTATTGTTATCAGGAAATTCTAATTGCTCAAATACATTAAATACCATCATATTTTATTGCATTGATTTTAAATATATAACCAATTTAGATAAAATCTTTGATCAATTAAATGTATTAGAATCTGTTCATCTTGCTTATTGTTCTTCTTTAAATCCTATTTTTACTCAACATTTAACTAGACCATTTAAATTAAAATCTTTATATTTAAAATGGGGACAACAAGATGATGAATCGTTAAAGCTATTATTACAAAAATCTGGTGATTATTTAGAGAATTTTGGTGATATTTTATCTAAAATATATTTATTTGATATTATAGAATATTGTAAAAATATCAAATTTATTTATTTAGGGGATATTGAAAACCAGATCATTTATCCAATATTAAATTTAATTGAAAATATAAAACAAAATCTTAATTATCTTTCAATCTGTATTGATATTGATGATGATATATGTAGTTCAATCATGTTACAAAATTTAGGACAAATCCTTCCTTCTAAATTAGAATATTTATATTTTTACATTCCTATTATAGCAAGTGATTTTGAAATATTTCTAAAAAATATTCAAGATACTTTTATTAAGAAATTGGTGATCCATAATTTACGAAATCATGATATTTTACCTTATATAAAAAAATATATTATGAAAAGGCAAAGAATTAAATATTTAGCTATTTTGACTAATAATCAGAATTTGTTTGATTTGAAAGATGAAGTGAAGGAATTTAAGTTACATGATATTAGAGTTCGAAGTTATTTTGAATTATGTATTGACACATTTTATTAGAATAAAAAAATCATCAAATTCGTTTCATTAGTTTTTGTTTATTTATTAGTGATTATCAACGTTAAGAAATCTTTATTAGCTACAAGTTTATCACGAAAACATTTGATGCAATCAAGAAAAATCTAAGTCTTTTAAAATAATGAAGATTTTGTAAAAAAGAATTTTATAACAGAAAATAATAAATATAATACGAATAGATAATGTAACCATAATTATATACCACGTTTCCCTATTTAATTTGGTAAATAAATTTATTAGTACTGTATGTTGACAATTATCCTATGACGGAATAACCCCTAAAAGTTCATTTATTATTTATTAATAAATAAAGAATATCCAAATTTTTATAAATAAATCAATAAATAATTATTTCGAATTTAACTAAAAAATATGTACAGTATCTGAGTTTTTATCACTTCCATTTTTTACTTTAATTGATGTCATAGCTCAATTCAAACTTGCTAGTAGGATAAGTTCAAACCTACTGTACATTTTATTTTTAATTTTTGGTCTCATTCTTATTTTAAACTATGATTTGGAATTAGATCTCAGTTTTCGAAAGAATCACAATTTAAATCTTAAAATTTTTTCAAATCGATTACATTGGCAACACTTTATACCGTTTTTTGTTTGGATTATATAAATAAATTTTGTAGTTTGTTCATTTAAAATTTAAAATTATAATAAATTAATTATGCTGAAACGGATAAATAGCATAATTTAATATAATTGTAAGAAATTAAATTGTTTGTAATAATAAAATAAAATTGCGTTAAATTATTGAATTAATACCTTTCTTCTCTTGCCGAAAATGGCCTTTTATGTTTAAGATTTTATTACAGTCAACTCCCTCTATAGTCACTCCCGTTATAGTCACATTCTACTATATAGTCACACCAGTTGAATGTTCAAAACACTTTATTATTAAAAACTATCCTATATAGTCACAATCTATCTATAGTCACTATCACACCTATCCTCAAAAATCTTATATTAAAAAAAACCGTTTATAATCACAGTTATATANAAAAAATTGTTAATCAATAATAAGGGAAGTAAAGATGATAATAAGGAAGGTCATGATATTCATGATTTTATTTTATCCTATTTAAAAGAATATATTATGAAAAAGGAAAGAATCAAATATTTGGCTATTATTAATTTCAATACTGATTTGTTTTCATTTAAAGATGAAGTGAAAGAATTTGAGTTATATAATATTAAAATTCAAAAATATTGTGATTTGTTTATTGATTCTAATTTAAAATTTGTAGAAGAATTGGAAGATTTTTAATATTAAGGGTTTAACATAAATTTTTTTGAAAAAATTATATAACTTTTATAAATAAACTTAAATTTTACTTATACTTATATTCTTTAAATTTTTGATAATTATATATATTATCAAACGACCGTTAAAGTATCTTACATTAAAGTAATAAATATGAAATATCTAAATATTTTAAGATAATTATAAAAAAATAAGTTCCGAAGTCGGAACTTATCATCCAAGTCCAATTGCATCCGGAAATTACAGTATCTTAGATGTAAGAATTCATAGTCCAGCGATGGTGTAATCCCTGTCTCTTATACACATCTAGATGTGTATAAGAGACAGCTCTACGATTAATATTGGCGGAGTTACGATACAATAAAGTTTTGAGTATAATTTTGGCTAAAATTATGTTAATTTTTGGCCGGAATTATGATATACTAATATAAGAAATTTTTTATATAGTCACATCTCTTTATAATCACCAAATATGGACTGTCCCAAATGTGTGACTATAAAGAGAGTTGACTGTATTTGTAATGACAATAAAAATAAAATGATTTGTGATATATTTGTTTATTTATGATATATTATCCTTCAAATAATTTTACTAAATACGTCTTGACAAGTTTAATTAAAGTTTGATACTATTAGCTTAGTATTTGTTGCTTTAAACTTAATTAAAGTCATAGTATGAGCCAATAGTATCGAAAGATCACGTGTATATAAAGTCACGTGGTGACAGATGAAAAAATTTAATTTGGTAATTTAGTTAAAGCGATTTATTGGTATGAAATATCTTCCAAACGAGATTATCAATATGCGCAAAAAAATATTTTGAAATCTTTCATCAGTTAGTACGGTATATTTTATAAGATAATGTATAGTTACTTGAAAAATGAATAATAAATAATTTAAATGGTAATACATTGTATAATATACAATTTACCCAAATTACAAATATAACGATAAATTTGGATTAGTATTTCTTATAAGCTAAATTAAATTAACAGTCTGGTTAATAAGAATCAAAAAAGTGGTAGCAGTTGGTTATCAGTCAAAATTCGCATAGGTTAAGTAGTGTTTAAAAAAAAAAAATTTTTTTTTTTTTTAAAATACATATTAAATAACTACTTGATTTTTTAATTTTTCACGGCTTAAGTAAAGTAAAAAAAAAAATAAATTCTTCTTTTTTTTAAAAAAAAAAAATTAGTAATCCAAAATGTATTATAAAATAAATATATTTATTGTTTCTCATTCTAGATGCATTATTGCATTAAGATCATAATAATATATTATAAAACATTATTAAATATGTAATAATATCTGTCACCTCGATTTAACATTTCTTGACAAAATATTATAATTATCTTACTTAGATTATACAACTATACGTCAATTTTAAATAAGTATAATTTCTGTGATCATCATCGTGATTCGAAATTGTAACATAATTACACACCGATTGTGCAGAAATTATCATATATAACTTGTGAAATTTGATAAACTAATACATCACTTTTCCTTCTCTCTTCGCTTTTTCGCTTACAATATGTCATATTCAAAAATATTTTCAGATTTACCTGAATTAACATATGAAGTTATAAAATATTTTAAGAATGATTTTTCAACTTTACATTCATGTATATTAGTTAACAGATTATGGTGTCGTTTAGCGATTCCATTATTATGGGAAAATCCTTTTTCGATTCCTACTGGAAATTATAATTTTATTGGAATTTATTTACATAATTTAAATGGTGATTTAAAAGCACAATTAAATGAATATAAAATTGATGGTAATTTATTTCCTTCAAATACACTTTTCAATTATCCCATTTTTTTAAAATATTTGTATACATGGAAAATTATTTCTTCTATTGAAGAATGGTCTAAAGATGTTGAACTCGAATATAGCTCAATACTTGAATTTAAGAGACTCATTCACATGTCATTATTTAAAGTAATTATTAAAAATAAAGTAAACATACATACTTTTGATATTCATATCACCTATCACTGGTCAAAGTGGGGTGATGTGCAATATATTTACATCAGAGAAATTTTACGCACACGTCACATTTCATATTGATTTACTAGTAATTTCAATTGAATCCGATTAAAATGTATGTCACAGAAATTAGTTGTAAACTTGTCCAATTTCCATGAAGTGTATATATCTTTTGAAATTTGCAAGTTTCCATTATATAAATGTATTTTAAATTGCAATAAAACATATTTATACATCATTTAAATTTACAACATATTAAAATGAAATTGTTTGCATTATAAAGAAATGTTAAAGAAATTCTGCTCATATTTGCAAATATATAGCTAAAATATTAACAATAAATACAATAAATTATTATAAATTCTATATAAATTTTATGTATATTATAAAGAAACTTCGCTAACACTTTAAATGCATTGTAAAATTAATAAAACAAAATGTTGTATAATAAGATACTTTTGACAAAAGTCCTATTAAAGAATCACTAACTTCGTAGCCACGCTCAATTAAGGCAATGTATTACTAGACCTACACTAAAGATGACTTTAGTAAGGCTTTCTTTGTGAATTAAAGAAATTTCATACACTTTGCCAGCTGGTGAGAAAGCCTATGATCTCTAACCTTAAACCCCTTTTTTTTACAAGATTCCTAAACATTCTAGACCATCTAAAAAAAGAGAAAATTAAACATTAGTAAAAACATTTCATTGAAATGCATAATTAGAAACAAAATCTTATTAAGTTTTTCATGCATTTAAAGAGTCAAAGAACCAACCATCTGAAAAAAGAAAGATGATGAATATTAGTGATCATTCGGTTGTTAAAAGAAAAAATTAAAGAAAAAATTGAACTTACGAAATTTGTGTTCAAAGATATTCCTGGAAGCCAAAGAGCAATTTGTCTACAGTATAAAAGAAAAAAAAGTTAGTAATTGTTTGTTAACATTAAAGTAAAAAATATCTTACCAAAACCAGCATCCAAAGAGCAAGCTGAAGATTTATCTAAATAATAACGAAAAATGAAGTCATTAAGTTAATGTTATGTTAAAATAAAAAGTTTAAAAAATTTTGTTAGAATAATTTAAAAGTCACTTTTTCTTTCGTTAAATTAAAAAAAAAGAACTTTAAAAAAGAATTACCAGAAGTCCATGTATCAAAAAAATCTAGCATTAAAAATAAGTGAAAAACTTCTTTGTCTTCCCTTGTCAAAATTCTGCTTCAAAGATCCGAAGTACCATATCAGTCATCTAAAAGAATACATTAACCTAAGGCTAAAAAATAAAAAAAAGAAAAGTTTCATTAATAAAATTCTTTTAAAGTAGGTTTCTTAAAGTCAATTCCGAACTCAAATAGCTTACTGGAGTCTGGAAATACAGAACCTATAAAGATTAAAAAAAGAAGTGTCAGACATTTCTTATAGATAAATGACGAAATCCTCTCAAAAGAAATAACTCACCATCCAAAAGTCTTCCACAGAGAAAGTTATTACCTACAAAAAATAAAAAAGGAAAATTTAATACATTCCTCATAGATAATGGCGAAACTCTTCCCCAAAAAATTTACTTACCATCCAAAAGTTCCTCCAGAGAATATTACCTACCAAAAAAAGAAGGAAATAAAAAAGAAAATTCATTCCTAACACTTAATGATAAACTATTAAAACAAAATTAATAACTTACTGTTTATTTTAGTTTTCCGATTCTTGTTTTTTGTAAAGTATAATTTTTACTTTTGTTTTCTTCAGTAGCCTAATCAATGGTTTATAAACTAATTTCCAAAGTCCAGCTATCATAGGCTTGGAAAAATTTTTATGAAAAATAAAAAGAAAAAAAGAAAATTTATTAGTTAATAAAACAAAAAAAAAATCTAATAATCGATAAAAATAAAAAAGAAATCAGAAATCACCTAAGAGAGCACTAACTTGTGGAAATGTTCAGTTCGTTCTCAATTGAACCTCAACTTCAAACCATTGGGAACATTGTTCATTCCTTTAATTTTTTGTCAGTTGTTTATATCAATAGCTTGTTGATGTTACTGTTGTGAAAAAGAAATTAATGAATGAGAAAGAGGGAAAGGAATTATGGGAAAGAAGGACAAGAATGTAAACTTTTTTTTAAAGATTATCATTGAACTGCGCCTATCAGTTTCATTATATCACGTGATACACGTGACATTAATTTTATGTAGGATGCGATGGACGCGTTAAAGCCGTTAAACTATTTTAACTATTTTTAATCAATTTTTTTTTAATTTCTTTGCATTTTTTCTTTTATACTCTTCAAAATAATAAACAGACAAATTAGTTATTATTTCTTGCAAAACAACTTATTGTATTAAAAAATTCCAGCAAACTTTTTATATCTATCCATTATTCTATTGACTCTATTGTTAAAAAAAATCTCAAAATATATTTATACCAATCTATTATTAAAAAAATTCCAAAAAAATTTTTATATCTATTCATTATACTATACCAATCTAATATAAAAAAAATCCTAGAAAAATTTATATTCTGGGTTTTTTAGTATAATTGACTTGAAATTATCAGAGTTCATAAGCTTTCTCACCAGCTGGCAAAGTGTATGAAATTTCTTTTAATTCATAAAGAAAGCCTTGCTAAAGTCATCTTTAGTGTAGGTCCAGTAATACATTGCCTTAATTGAGCGTGGCTACGAAGTTTATGATTTATCTCTGCTATTTTTGTTATTTTGCAATGATATAAAACTTTGTTTAAGTAATAGCAAAATTTAAGTAGATGGCTTGTCGCAAATTAAATATCATATTTCAAGTAAATTTCAAGCTATAATATGTGTAATATACATTGATATTAAATTTAATTAAAATTTATTCAGAATTTATACATTATAAATTAGCGAATTAATTTTAAAATCATAAAATTTACAATAAATTTTACTGTTTCAATCTATAAATTAAATTTGATGGAGATTTCCTAATCGTAATTGAGATCACCAAATTTATAAGCTATTTATGGGCAATAAACTTCATGCAAATCATCCCACTTCGACCAGTGTATCCTGATTCCTGTATAGATGATATGCTTGAATTAATGTTACAATACCCAGTTTTCTTTTATAAGATTAGAAAATTAAAACTCAGACTTTTTAATTCCTCACCTAGCTATTCTAAAAATTTTATATTACAAATGATTAATTTATATCAAAATCTTAAACAAATTTCATTAAATTCTTCTAGTTTTCCTATATATCAGTCATTATTGTTATCAAAAGATTATAATCATTCATCAAGTACTTTGAATACAATCATCTTATATGACCTCAATTTTAAAGTTATAACTAATTTAGACAAACTATTTAAACAATTAAATGTTTTAGAATCAGTTCATATCATTTATTGTGATTTAGGTACTGATTTTATTCAACAAATAATTAACTTAACTAAACCACTTAAGTTAAAATCTTTATTATTTAATGGTAATAAAGAATTACAAATTGTTGAATCATTACAATTATTATTACAAAAATATGGTGATTATTTAGAAAATTTTAGGTTTAAAGTTGGTTCTAATTCGTTTATATCTGAGGAACAACAATTACTTGAATCAATTATAAAATATTGTAAAAATATTAAATTTCTCGATTTAACTGTAATTGATAGTACTCAGATTATTTATTCGTTATTGAATTTTACTGAAAATGTAAAACAAAATCTTAATCATCTTTCTATCACTGTCTATAACAATTTTGGTCGTCTAAGTTATATTGATCTAAGTACAATTCTGTTACAAAATTTAGGTCAATTACTTCCTCTTAAATTAGAATATTTAAGTTTAACTCTTAATATTAAATATAAAAATGATTTTGAAATGTTCTTAAAAAATTCTCAGAATACTTTTATTAAAAAATTGTTAATCAATAATAAGGGAAGTAAAGATGATAATAAGGAAGGTCATGATATTCATGATTTTATTTTATCCTATTTAAAAGAATATATTATGAAAAAGGAAAGAATCAAATATTTGGCTATTATTAATTTCAATACTGATTTGTTTTCATTTAAAGATGAAGTGAAAGAATTTGAGTTATATAATATTAAAATTCAAAAATATTGTGATTTGTTTATTGATTCTAATTTAAAATTTGTAGAAGAATTGGAAGATTTTTAATATTAAGGGTTTAACATAAATTTTTTTGAAAAAATTATATAACTTTTATAAATAAACTTAAATTTTACTTATACTTATATTCTTTAAATTTTTGATAATTATATATATTATCAAACGACCGTTAAAGTATCTTACATTAAAGTAATAAATATGAAATATCTAAATATTTTAAGATAATTATAAAAAAATAAGTTCCGAAGTCGGAACTTATCATCCAAGTCCAATTGCATCCGGAAATTACAGTATCTTAGATGTAAGAATTCATAGTCCAGCGATGGTGTAATCCTATGTAAGTTTACAGTAAATTTACATAAGAAATTTACAAAAAATTACACAAGGTTACGTTGGTTTGCATTGCATTATTATTATTAATAAAATTAGTAGAGATGGGACTTGGTTAACACAATGTCTAATATGCTTTTTTTATTACCGCAGCTTTGATTGAATAATTATAATCTTACAATTAAATAAAGATTAAAAATGTTAACTAATTCTATATATATAAATTAGTATAAATAAAGTAATTAAACAAATGTAGTTTGTGACTAGCAAGTCACCTGTTGGGATCAAGTCTTAAACCTTAAAATAAATTATGCACAATGTTTAAATTTATTAAATTTATTAAATTTTAGTGATATCGTCAATAAAAATCATGATGCAAAATCTACTATTTTAGCAATAAATCGTAACATGTTTTAATTCTATGAAAAATTTTTGCTACACATTACACAATTCAAATTATAGATAATCTAAGTATGAAAAACAATTTTATTTTATTTCAAAAAGATTATGGTATGAATATACAAAATTAAAATATTCATTTTCATGAATTGTATACTGTGGATTGTTCACATTTTATGAAATATTTCTTATATTTCATAACTAATTACTAGTCACATAATCAAACTCTAAATAATCTGAAGTTCGCATGAACTAATTAATCTGAATCTTATACAACCTTCATCTATTATACAATTTGTTGATTAATCACATGCGTTTATTCCTGGATTAATAAATTTTCCAATATGTTCTCTGGAATTAACATCTTGAATATTACTAAATTCTATTGAATTAGCAAGATGATAAGAATGTTAGGATGTCCATCTGCTGACACGTGGTGATGTTACAACAATGTAATCTTTAGACAGCACTTCGGGCTTAAAGCTGGCTTTTTTTTTAAAAAAATATAAGTATTTCTCTCATTTTTGAAAACAATTGAAACCGGAACCTAAAGGTATCACATTCTCAACGGCTTAAAGCTTTAAACGTACGAAAATATGCATTTAAATAAAGCGATATAACATAGTGCAACCTATTTAAAACAAAACTATACAAAAATTATTATTAACCTAGCTATAAAACAAACTCTGTTTAACTAGGTTACGATACATTTCGTCGAAGCCATTTCACCGAAAATGATAGAAATGATAGCGATTATCACTTTTATAAAAATATTAATCGCGCAATGAAAATAAAAAATTTTTTTTATTTATTTATTAAATTACATCGGGAACCTTAATAGATAGTATTCTGATTTGTTGATTGAGTACTTTAATATTTTCATTTTTAGTTTCTATTTTACATTCTTTTGCCACGTCACCTATTTTTGCAAAAATTAAATAAACGTTTAAACAAAAAATTCTTTTTATTTTTTTAAGTGTCATTTTTTCTATGATAATATTACTTTAACATTCAAGTAACTGATATTAATTGTTACGTAATATATAAATAACTTTATTTTCCTGAAAACGTTTAAATATTCACGAAAAAGTAATTATATTTTGTGTGTTATAGTCTTCTAATAACAACTTCTTTCCATTCGGCGAAAAGTCCTGATACCGTTTAACCATATATGTAATACAATTAAAACTGCGCCTAATTACTGAAACATGTTACACACAATCAATCGACATGAATTGTGCAACAATATCGGAATCACTCTCCGAAAATTAACATAAATTTACTCGGATCGGCGTAATAATAACAATTTGATACTTCCCCTTTTCACTTTCAATTACAATATGACATGTTCAAAAGTATTTCTAGGAGATTTACCTGAGTTAACATATGAAGTTATAAAATATCTTCAGAATGATTATTCAACTTTACATTCATGCGTTTTAGTTAACAGATTATGGTGTCGTTTAGCGATTCCATTATTATGGGAAAATCCATTCTCAATTCCTACAAAAAATTACAATGTTATTGACATTTACTTAAATGATGATCTTAAAACAAAATTAAATGAATATGAAATTATTAAAAATTCATTACCTTCAAATACACTATTCGATTATCCTAGTTTTTTAAAATCTTTGAATATTTATAAGTTTATTAATTCTGTTGAGAAGTGGTTTGAAACTGTTTATATAATTTCAAAACCCGCAAATGGATATTATTTAAAAGTTTTTGATTTGGTATCTAAATCACTATTCAAAATTTTTATTGAAAATAAAATAAATTTACATACTCTTGAAATTGAGATCCCAAATACTTCTTATAGTGCATATATTAATGATATTCTTAAGTTAATTTTACAAAATCAAAATTTTATTTACAATATTAGAAATTTGAAACTTTCTATCAGCAATTTCGTCAATTATCATGATGAAAGTAGAGTTATTAAAAATCGTATATCACAAATGGTTAATTTGCAACAAAATCTTAAAAAAATTTTATTAGATTATCATAGTTTTTCTTTATATCAATCATTATTATTATCAAAAGATTATAATTGTTCAAATACTTTAAATACAATCATTTTCTATTACGTCAATTTTAAAAGAATAATCAATCTTGATAAAATATTTGAACAATTAAATGTTTTAGAATCTGTTCATATCTTATATTGTTATTCTTTAGATACTAATTTTACTCAACAAATTATTAATTTAACTAAGCCATTTAAATTGAAATCTTTATTTATGAGTGAAATATTACAAATTGAATCATTTCAATTATTATTACAAAAATCTGGTGATTATTTGGAAAATGTCGGGTTTATTACTAATTTTAACCTATCGTTAATATTAAGTCGACAATTATTAGAATTATTTGTAAAATATTGTAATAATATCAAATTTCTTGATTTTTATGTGTTTGAAAGAGAACTTATTTACAAAGTATTCAATTTAATTGAAAATATTAAACAAAATCTTAATTATCTTTCAATCGATACATCATATTATTTTTCAGATATTAATAATTTCGTATTACGAAATTTAGGACAAGCTCTCCCTTCTGAATTAGAATACTTAAGTTTGATTCATACTGTTGAAAAAAGTTATTTCAAAGCATTTTTAGAGAATTCTCAGGATATTTTTATTAATAAATTGTTAATAAATCTACAAGGAGATAGTGATGATATTTTACAATATATAAAGGAATATATTATGAAGGAAAAAAGAGTCAAGTATTTGGCTATTAAGAATATTAAAAAGGATAGAGAATTGTTTGATTTGATAGATGAAGTGAAGGAATTCGAGTTACATAATATTAGAGTTCGAAGATATAGTGAATTATTTATTAGTGGTATTGACTTTATAAAGAATATTGATTAGTTATAAAGATGAATAATCATATATAATGTTTGTAAATTATTACAACTTGATTAAAGTCGCTTTATAAATTTACTTTATTGAGAAATTTTTTTTTATGACGATTTTATAAATATGAAATCCGTTCTTAGGAATGGACTTAGAGTTGGATCAGTCTGTCCCAGCCCAGTCCAAAAAGGCTGGATTTTTCAGTCAGCGATACGAATTGCAATCGCAAGATATCAAGTATACATGATGATCTATGCGGCGATGCCGCAGAACTTGAAATGCCAAAAATCTGGGTAGTTGCCCTGGATACATCCAGGATAGTACCCGAGATTTTTGACCAACTACCTTGGATGTATCTGTGTTAACTACCCGGATTTTTGATCAATACGGTGCTTCATAGATTAATTTCGCAAATGAAAAAGTCAACACAATTTACCAGGAATTTCCTAGAAATTGAGAATTCCACATTTGCTAAAAAAAAAGGTAAAATGGCGCCATTACACGGGAACAAATCCCGTTGGAATTATAACCGAAATATTAATAAAAAAATTATTAAATGCGAATTCGCATGTTCACCATGTATCTCTAGTGCTGACACTAATGGAAGATTGTGTTTCGGAAAAATTAGCAAAATTATTAGGAGTGAGCGAGGTAAATACGTTAATTTGTGAGTCGTTCTAAATTCATCTAATTAGAATTAATTATATATATATATATAGAGAGAGAGATCGGGGGAACAACATGTCCGGGAGGAACATTTTCAAATCAACTCGCAATGTCAACGGTAAGAAACTTTATGTTTCCAGAGATTAAAACTAAAAGGGTACTGCAATTTCAGCAAGAAGTTTACAGTATTTACTCTTAGTTCTGGACATTATTCTGTTGATAAAACTGGTATGGCACTAGGATTAACATAATTAAAGTTCCTTGTGACGATCAAAAAATGCGTCCAGACGAATTAGGTAAGATCCTAAAGATTCCTTTTGGAAAAAATAGTAACATATTTTTTATTTTTTATTTATTTATTTATTTTTTGTTTTACATAGAACAATTAAAGATACAGTCATTGGAAAGAAAACAATCCCATTTTTTTTATTAATGCTACTGCTGATACGACCGTTTTGGCATGAAAAAATTTTTTTTACATTACTGTTTTATTTACTATATATTCTTGCATCATTAATTTCGCGTACTTTTACATATCAGGGTGATCCGATTCATTAAAGGAAATTGGAAAAATTGCTAAACAAAACAAGCTTTGCCCTATAAAAAAAAATCTGGAAAAAATTCCGATAAATGATCATTTTTCTAGTTTTAATTCCGAAGAATCTCAGAAACGATCATTTTTCTGAAAATTTTTTATAGGGTTGGTTTCAGGTTGATGGATCATAAGGTGAGAGTTTTATGGTATTCTCCTATAAATAAGCTTCATCTTTGGTTCGTTATTAAAATTTTTTTTTAAAAAAAAATCACTTTAATTTCACTGACTAAACAATATTTTCTCAATTTATAATTTACAATAGGCTGTTACGTGCATAAATTACTCGGAACAACATTACAATGTTCATTCATATTAGCGTCAATATTTAAAACAAATTCACTAGGGACACTATATTTATTTCATGACGAGATAGTACATTTGGATGTGGTAGAAAGCCTGACGCAATAAAATTATTTATAAGATGGAAAATATATGGTATGTCAGGATATAAAAAAAGGATAGAACATGTATTAATTGTATTTAAATGGTACTCATTACAATATGTATATCCGTCTATATATAGTTTATTTTTCATTGCGTTATTTCTATCTATTTCGTCTTTAAAATATTCGATGATTTTGTATGTATTGCTATCTTGTGCGTCTTTTCTTTCCCAGTTTGCAGCTTAATATTTCGTTAATTTACTTTATATCCTATGTCTATGATTCTAAGTCTCGCAGTGTTTTTTCTATTTGTATTTTTAAAGTTAATATTGATTATTTGCGAACCATTACTTTTTGCTTGGCTTGTTGCTTATCTAAGCATGCTGTAACAATGCCTCTTATAAAACCTCCATTTACTAAGTCTGTTGCAATATCTTTATCCGTTTTGTCCAGTTGCATGCCCGCGTTCTGTAATATAAGTCTTCTTTCTAGTACTAAAGCCTTCTAATGTTTAATATGTATTTTTTGTTTATATAATAATGCTTTGTAATTGTAGTTAAAGAATTATTTACACTGCAAACTTAATAATCAATCACTAATTTTGATTTAATTCACGTTCTTTTGATAACAATTGGAGTAAATACGTATAGTAGAGAAATTTCAGTACTAAAGTTAGATACACTAATGTTGTGTTACTAGATAGGTTTAAAACAATTGTTTTATTTCACTAATAAAAAATACGTGTTAAATATTACTAATAAAAAGTTTTATTGAAAGAGCTTCGATAAAAACTATTAGGAAACGGAAACCGTTATTGAGTTCGATGTATCATTTCGATGTACCATTTAGTTTTTAGGAAGATATAAAGAAATGGGGACCTAATAAAGAGAAGACCTAGACAAAGAGAAGTTAGACCTAAAAAAAAAAGACGACGAAAAAAAAACACCACCCACACACAAACACACGCTCCCAACCCCATATTATAAGACCATTTATACGGTAATAAAGAAGTCACAAATATTGTTGTAAATGAATATAAGTTCTCGGATAATTAGTTAAATTGACACCGGCCGAAAGTATTAAAATGAATATTATTTATACGACTTGTATTTTATGGGGAGGGCTAAAATGAATTTTACCATATGGTTTCCATTGAACGCGCTAGTATTTTTTTAAGATATAAATTTAATAATTGAACCAAGACATTAAAAATTCGATTTTAGGAGAGTGAAATATTGATTTATAAAATATAAGAAAGGTCAGTGATATAAATTGGGATAGCGCAATATGTACAGGAGTACATTACGCATAGTACTCATAAGACTTTTACATTTTGCGCGTATAAAAATTTTTTTGAATTTATATCACTGTTGTATACTTTATGTCTGGGTCAATCCTATAATTCCTATATCCTTTTACGTTATTATCGGTTACACTTAAGATCTTTAATATTTGTATTATCGGTCAATTTGTATGACCGATACTTTATTTCGATTATCATTCTATAATGGATATGTTAATATAATGAGTTTAGATCCGCAATTAATTTTTTCTCTTAAAGGAATGGTTAAGTCGGAGTTTTCAAAACTCCTTGTTTAGAGTTTATATATCAGTTGCAAGAATGTTAATTTAAACATAAATAGATTATCTATTATTTACACGATGTTCTCGATGTAGGACGCGAATTATATTTATCGATGATACCGTAGATAATTATTTGTCAAAATTCAAAAAAAAAAATTTTTAGTATTACAATTGGTTTCTCATGGTTGACCCTTACATGGCTAGTAGAAGTGATAAGTGATATCATTTTGGAAATCTTGAAATCTTGTCAAACTTCCAGCCACACATGTGATAGACAATGAGTAATACAAATTAGTATTAACAATTCTCGATCATTTCCTTTTTTTTATAAAGTGTGGCTAAATGCATCCAATCTTATTGTCGCAAATTTTACATAATAATTCTTTAGTTTCATTCCGCCCAGAATTCTGACATAGGAAGCACAGAGAAACATTGTTGCCAAGATTTCATCGGTAAGTAATTACGTTCCTCCAAATACATTTTATGTAATACAACTATTTATCAATGAAATTGAAATTGATAAATTAACCTTATTTTTCCAAATTCGTTAAAATCTAAAATCTATAAATAAGTGGTCAGAGTTTTTGAAAAAAAATCAAAAAGAAAAAAAAAATGAAGAAAAATTTTTAAGCCATTATAATAAATTAATCATACTCTTCAAATCATTATTTATTATTATTTTTTTTTTTAAAAAAAAAAACAAACAAACAAAATAAAAAGTTTTATTTTTAAACTGCAAAAATGTCAAGTGTAAGAGATAAAAGTGGACAATCTCCTTCGACAACTACAACAACAAATCAATATCCATTTGAAGTCAAACTGACTAGAAAAGAAAAATTAATGGTTTATCTAAAAATTGGATTAATGTTATTCTTTGAAATCGCTTTACCACTTATCCTCTTTTATGTTCTTAAAAGCTATATGAAAGAAATCTGGGCACTTCTGATATCAGGTGTTCCACCGTTTCTTATTGTTATTTATGGAATTATAAGTAAAAGACGTATTGATATTTTGGGAGCAATAACAATAATAAGTATTGTTGTCAGTGCTATCGTTGCATCATTAAAAGGCGATGCCCGAGCTTATTTATTACGAGAATCTGCAATTACGGGTACTGTTGGTTTAACATTCCTCATTACTTTGATTCCAATTAAGTATGGTTCTTTCCAAATGCGACCAATTATGTTTTATTTTGCTAAAGATATGCAAACTGGAGAATCCTTTGGTTATTCATCTAAAAAAAGAAATAATTCAGGTTTAACAGAGGAAATTTCAGATACGTTGGGAAATATATTGGAATAAATATGTCATATTTCGACGCGGATATATCTTTTTGACGGCTTTTTGGGGAATTGGTTTAGTTGTTAAAGTTCCCGGCCATACTATAATTTTATTCTCAAAACTCCAACGATTGAACGTGCCATTTTTTGGATAAACATATTAACTTACTCTTGGTTAAGTGTATTGATCCTAATCCACATCATTTACTCTAATGGTTTAAAAAACAATGTATAAAAGTAATTGGTGAAGGAGAACGACAAACTGCTGCCAATAAAGCTTCAGTATAATAATCAACATAGAATAATATATATAAACATTTTTTATAACTTCATACAAGTTTAAAGTGATGTTTTAGAAGTTGAATTCTTATTTTTACTGTATTTAGAATATTAATAAAGAATTCGAATTAAATTTAATTTTATTAAATTTATTAAAAAATATTTCAGAATGATTTAATTGTAATCGTTACTTCTTTGTAATTATTTCATCGATAAGTTACTATATAAAGGCATCGTAATATGCAAACATGTAAAATGAATACTATATTTGATTAACATTCTAAAATTCAAAAAATAGATAACGCGACGGATCGTAACACTAGCAATAACAGCCACCCAAGCATTGTAACATTTAAACACAACGCACATTTGGATCTACAAGGCTATACTCGATTAAACCAATATTAGCTTGGACTGGTAACAATTGATAATGGCGGTTAAAAGGGTCTTCCCATGTCTTCTCTCGAAATAACTATATTTTTTGACATTTTGTGTAATAGTTATAGTGTTTTACTTAATAAAGTTTTGTGACTGTACAAAATTATTTTACAAGCAAAAAAGAAATTTTGAATAACTGAAATTTTTAAAAGAATTCAGTAAACGTAATTGTGATTATTATTATAATTGATATTGTAATTATTGTAATTGTAATTGTGAATATTAAGAGTCTGAATTCCAAATTCTTTCATAATTCGTTCATCGCGTTCTTTTTCCTCGGCAAGTATCATTTCAAGTTCTGTAACTTCAGCTTTACTATTTAAAGCAGCTTCAGCTTCGGCTATCATAACAGATATTTTACTATTAAGTCTTTTAAGCATAATATCTTCATCATCATCGTCATTATTATCAGATGTATTATTGAAATTATTGCTCATTTTTGAAGATGATTTGCGACGTACAAATCTACAGCCACGACGAACACGGAATTGTCTTCGTCGTGAAGTTGAATTTGTTGGTGAATGTGTTGGTGTTGGTTGAGTAGTTGGATAATCTTGTTGCGAAGGTGATGTAGAAATTGTAAGTGAAAGTTTAGTTTCAGTCTGAGTAGTTGGATAATCTCGTTGCGAAGGTGATGTAAAAATTGTAAATGAAGGTTTAGTTTCAGACTGAGTAGTTGGATAATCTTGTTGTGAGGGTGATGTAGAAATTTCAAATGAAGGTTTAGTTTCAGTCTGAGTAGTTGGATAATCTTGTTGCGAAAGTGATGTAGAAGTTGTAAATAAAGGTTTGTTCTCAGACTGAGTAGTTGGATAATCTTGTTGTGAGGGTGATGATGAAATTGTGAGTGAAGATTTAGTTTCAGTAGAATTATCGTAAGGTGGAGGAGATTCTTCATCTTCAACAGTTTCTACATTTTCATCCCAAGTAGAAACATCTTTTTTCTTATAATCATAGACATTTTCATAATTTTGTCTAGTTGAATGACCTCCAGTATTTAACGTATTTCCAGTTAATACATTTATAGCATTATCGGCAAAATCGGAAGTATAGGTAGCAAGTTCAACAACTTTATATATAAAGTTTGCGACAATTCCTTGTTGTTGTTGGAAATCTTGTATTGAAGTTGACTGCATTTTGTGTTGATATTTTTTAAAAAGATTTAGGTATATATACAAGGTTTATTGGAAGAAAGGTACTATAGTAAAGAGCAACAAATAAAATATAAAAAAATCGATTTTTGTTGCTCTGTGCGAGGTATATTTTTCGTGTACTATAGTAAAGAGCAACAAATAAAAAATAATAAAATCGATTTTTGTTGCTCTGTGCGAGGTATATTTTTCGTGTGCGAGAGTAACGGGTACTGGTAAAAAAAAAAAGAAAAATTTTTTTTTGCGTATTTTTAAAATTTTATATGTATGTATGTACTATATATATATATAATTTTTTTATACATGTATTGGATGACTCAAAGGATGACTCAATATTTTTAAGTGGCTTAACTTGTGATTTTTCAATAGAAAAATGTTACACCTTGATCCGATGATAAATTTCACGATAAAACCATACAATTATCACACACCCAACACCTGCTGATAACATAATATGAGTAATAAATATTAGTTATTTGATAGGGGGGTTAGAATATCACCGAACTGCGAAGCAGTTCGGATGATATTTTAACCCCCCTATCAAATAACTGTGTTATTCTGCAGCCGCCAATGATCATCTTATAAATACAATAAACTATTGATTAATCAACGTCAAAAATATCAATAATAATTATGCAATGGTAGTTTATTTATAGCTTAATAAAAAAATATCAGCATGATGAAAAAAGCATAATCCTATTTGGCTGTAGAATAACAGATAATAATTAATAACTTGTAATTCGATAATTAAATATTATTTATTTGTAATAATGCGATATAAAAGACATATGATATAATATACATATAAGTAATATATAATATAACAAGTGTTGAAGAATTTTAACATGTGATATTATTAATAGAAAGATTTATAAACATTTCTTGATATTTTCTTTTTTATAAATTTCGGGTTCAAAGAACGAAATGCAAAAATACATGGTATCAAACTTTTTTTTGATGGATGTATAATAGAATAAGCATAATACGCATAATACAATATGAGTCAAATTGTAGTATCACCAAATTTCAAGATTTTTGATTGATAAAATCATTGATCAACAACAATCAATGAATGTATATTTTATTTAGATTGAGTAAATTTATAAAATAAAATTATATGTATTTAAATATTTTAAAAAAACTAGGATAATTGAATAGTGTATTTAAAGGTAATGAATTATTAATAATTTTATATCTATTTGATTTCGTTTTAATATCATCACTTAAAATATCAAGTAAATATTAATAATACGATATTTTGATTTTCCCATAATAACGTAATCGTTAAATGACTAATCTGTTAACTAAAATGCATGAATGTAAAATTGAATGATCCTTTTGGAAATATTTTATAATTTTATATGTTAAAAGGGGAAGTATCAAATTGTTATTACGCCCAATATATTCATTTTTGGAGTGATGATTCCGATATTGTCGCACAATGCGTCAAAATTTAATATTGTTATGAAGTCGCAGTAACTAATCAATCAAATTCATGGCATAAATATTCGTTGACTGGGTTGAAGGTGCTCAAGCACAGGTGTCACGTAATAACATATATCATGTGACTTTGAAACTTCGATTTTACTTTGGTTACTATTACCTTTACATACAGTTTATAATAACAATAAGTTTCGAATAATGGTACTATTAAAGAATCTTTATGATACAATTGACTAATCTTTATTTGTTTTGAGTGCAACTATTTAACTAAACTTTACAACCTTGCTAACCAATACAAAGCTAAACTAATACATAACTATCCCATTCTTTGTATCTCAACGAGTTTTATTACGACTGTAAATGGTAATTAATTATGGTTCGAATATCATGATTTTATTAGTTCAAAATAAATCACATTTAATATATTTTACATTTTATAGTTCTAACTCCCCTTTAATCATGAACTCTTGTTTTTATTACTAATTAATTATATCTTTAATGAGTACAGTTAGTTATTTATACAAGAAACTTTATATGAAGTAAAAATTTTTATCTATCTCTTTTTTTTTTTTTTTTTTTTTTTTTTTTTTTTTTTTCTTTTTTTTTATTT